TCTGCACTAAAGTTGACCATATTTACTTACACCTTGCCCCTTACTTTGAAAAAGTCTAAGGAAAACGTGCACAAATATTAATCTACTCAAAGTCAAAATACACATACTTATTCTATTTTAAGAGAGGCTTAATGGTTGAAACATTTCACTTCTCAGAAATTTAGTGGAAACATTTCCTGTGTGTGCAATGAAGGCAGTAAAAAATATTAGTCGATGGAAAAATTATACTTGTTCAAAATCCATTAAGTATTTATACGGGTTTTACAGTGCTATACAATCATATAAGCATTTAGAACATGTTATAACGAGCAGATAGTCAAATAAGATGTGTGTTTTGGTATCAAAAATAAGTTCCATTAATTATTATTATTTCTCCTCTTCTTATGTAGCATGAACAAAATAGAGAAAGAAACTGGGGGCAGAAATTACAGAAACATATTTTTACATATGAAATTATTTTATAAAAATAATCATATGAGGGCGCCCGGATGGCTCAATTGGTTAAGCATCCCACTCTTGATTTCTGCTTGGGTCATGATCTCAAGGTAGTGAGACGGAGTCCCATGTCAGTCTCTGCGCTAGGTGTAGAACCTGCTTAAGATTCTATCTCCCTCTCCCTCTGACCCTCCTTCCCAGGTTCTTTCTCTCTCTTTATCTCTCTTTCTCTCTCCCTATCTCTTTCTAAAAAAAATAAAAAGAAAAAAGGGATGCCTGGGTGGCTCAGTGGATGAGCATCTACCTTCAGCTCAGGTTGTGATCCGGGGTCCTGGGATAGAGTCCTGCATCTGGCTCCCCACTGGGAGCCTACTTCTTCCTCCGTCTATATGTGTGCCCCTCTCTCTGTGTCTCTCATGAATAAATAAAATCTTAAAAAAAAAGAAAAAAAAGTATTTATATGGGTGACTCTGAATTTAAGCCATTATTCTTACCCTAGAATGAAGTAAAACTCAAAGATCCATGTGTTTTTGTCCTTCATCATCAAGTAACTTCTACATTCCAGAAAATGTTGTCATACCTATTTCTATCTTCCAATAAATTAACCAAATTCCAGATTCTTGGCAGAATTGACCATCGATAGCATATATGAATTTAAAGTCCGATAGAGGAGAGTTCACCAAGCTCTTCCATTTTGTCTGCTTGCTTATTAACCTCCAGTTTCCTCACCCATAGAACAGGAATCAGAATAATGCTTGCCTTACAAGGCATTCCTGTAAAATACAGGATCTGGCACATAGTAAAGTTTTCGTAAATTGCGTTACTTTACTATATGAGGAAAGATAACCTTTAAATACAATCATAGAAGCTACTCTTATTCAATACTTACTATTATGCCAGGAATTGTGTGAGTACTCTACATGCATCACCCAATTTAACCCCTACAATACTGTTAACCCACTTTACAGACAAGATGATTAAAAGAGAGCCTTCTCTGGTCACAGAGATTGACTGCAAAGATCCTGTCATGTTGTTTTTCTTTTGAAATACACTTGGTTTAAAGAAGAGATTAACATAAAAGGACATTTATCTACATGAAAAAATCATAATTGGTTGGAATTTGCCTCCATTATGATAGATTTTACCACACTACATATAATTTTTTCCTAATATTACCTTGAATTAAGATATGGCTAGATGGAATTATATAAATCAGGAAATTTATTACCTTTTCAAAAGTCTGTTTCATTCTGCTTATTTTAACAGATTTGAAGTTTCACATTTTTGTTCCACTTCTGACTAATATGCATAATTAGATTTCCTTCTTTAGTTTGATTTCATAGCTAAATTTAGGGCTTAGTGGGATGCCTGAGTGGCTCAGTGATTGAGCATCTGTTTTGGGGTCAGGTCATAATCCAGGGATCCTGGGATCAAGTCCCACGTCGGGCTCCCTGCATGGAGCCTGCTTCTCCTTCTGCCTATGTCTCTGCCTCTCTCTCTGTGTCTCTCATGAATGGATAAATAAAATCTTTAAAAAATAAATTTAAAAAAAATTAAAGTTTGCTTCTTTTATTTTCACTCTCTGGTAATGAAAAGTCTTCAAATGCTGTGAAATAAACATAAATAACTCAAAAATTAAGTATGTGAAGCATGTATAAATAAACCAAAAATATAAAATCTAACCAATGCCAAACCTTGAGTTCTACTTTAATATGAATTAAATCTCATTTGTGTGTGAGAGTATGTATGTGTGTATTAGGCATGAAGTTTTTTTGACTTGAAAAGTATATGATAAAAGTAAATATTAAATATTTGCCTTCATCATGCTGTACACAGAATATATGCTAATATATTAATTCTCAGGTATCTAGTCCAAAGAATATATTTGAGAAAATGGTGTAATCCACAGGACTTCTTGAAAATGAGAAATCATTATGGTTAGTGAGTGAATTAGGATTATAACCCAGCAGCAGAGTGCAACAGCCTGATTCAAAACAAAGTTTGCCCAGGTAATCTTCAAGTAAGCCCACGAGGTAAGCTTAATTTATGAACAGAGTTCTAAGAATTGACAGAGTCTCCGAACTTCAGAGCTCAACATAAGAGAAAGCCTGACTTTCAGTATTAATAGCAACCAGGAAGAAAATGTTTAAATGTAGCAAATAAAATAACAACTTAATAAATAAGATAAAATGCAGACAAATTTGGATAATATTGATAATAGTATATAATCAGACCTGTGGCTATTGTTAACATTCTTTGTTTAAAAGAGTAAAAGTGGGCAGCCCCCTTGGCCCAGCGGTTTGGCGCCACTTTCGGCCCAAGGTATGATCCTGGAGACCCGGGTTCGAATCCCACGTTGGGCTCCCTGCGTGGAGCCTGCTTCTCCTTCTGCCTGTGTCTCTGCCTCCCTCTCTCTCTGTGTCTCTCATGAATAAAATACTTAAACAAAATAAGTATAAATAAAAATTTTATCTAAAATATCTCATGAAAAAATGTTTTTCATTCCCAAAAAGCAAATCAATAACAGATTATATAAAAACATTATTTCATAAATTTTAAATTCTCAGGACTTTGTAACTAAGATGTTTGTATATCCCTTTAGCTTTTTGTATATACACATATAGTTTCATACAAGTATATATATAGCATATATACTTTGTAATATATGTGAGAGAATATGTGAGAAATTAAAAGAATCTTGCAAGATATATTTGCATATACCTTGCAATACTCTTATATAACCTTCTACCATCATCTTAATACTAGCAAGGAGAAAGTTTCCACATGGACCGAGGATTACCATTGGTTCTTTAGATTTTAATAGATGAGACTTAAAAGATTTAAAGACACACAGAGTCCATGTAAAATTTGTGTATAATATTTTGCACCTTTCCGATGAGTAGATCAACAACTTTTGCATTTAGGACAACTAATCAAGATAGAAGAGAGTTACAACTGAGTTGTGATGGAATAGTGGGTACATGTACATGTACCATGGTGAAGCATCTGGTTTTACGTCTCACATTTCCCACGAGGCTATGTAAATTCTCTTTAACTTTCTTAATATTTCTGAGTTTCAATTTTCTAGTCTATAAAATAAGGATAATAATAGGACACATTTCAGAAATGAATTTACCATGAAGTGAATAAAGCTTAAGTTCGGTGCCCTGGCAATGTGTTTATATGGTTGGGTATAATTGAGTAAAATTTGCAAAATTGTGTATTTTTCTAATAGAGATATTCCTCAAATTGTGTAACTTCATGCCCTACCAAAAATGGATCTTTCTGTTTTTCACCTTAGGGTTTATACTGGGTATTAAATTTGATAAATAAAAAAGATAAAGTTTTATGATTATGCCTAGAATAGGGAAAACACTTGATTAATGTTCATTATCATTATTATCAACTATCATAGACAATTTGCTTGTGTTTATTTTTCCCATTGCTACATGTGATTGAATATTTCATATCTTAAATAGTATGGCTTAGGGGTGTTTAAGAAAGAGCTTACTATATTAATAGAGTTTTCCACTTGGCAAATTTAGAAAGAGAAATAGTATGAAATATATTAATTCAAATGTTAGACTAACTGATACATATCTAAGAAGGGGTAGTGTTTAGAATTTAATCAAGACCATGTTTACATTTTGGTAAAATATTTAAAATATTTATTCAGAAAAAAACTGTGGTACTATGCAGAGAAAACTTGCCTAAATGAGATTTCATACACTTATCAGGTGGCTGTTGCAAGAGAGAATGAGTAAATGATTGAACTCACCAGAATTACACTAATCATCATATCTATACAGATTCATCTAAATGTTCAGAGACTCAGCAATGTATATGAAAATGGCTATGCCATTTTCTAAGTCACAGTTTCGAGGCATATGATACCTATTTTACATTCATAATGAAAATCGATCATATTCATACGGTATCTATTTTACTATTCATAATCGAATGTCATCATTCCTTTTAATCACACACCTAAAAGTTACAGACATAAGCTGTCTCTATAAATTATGATTAATCATGCAAAGATTCACAATAAATATTATTGACTTGTGATTAAGCTCTACCTTTTGAATTCTCTATTTTACTTAAACAAAAGAGATAAATACATGCACTGCTTATGAATAAAATTCACCAGGAAAATATGACTTGTATTTCAAATAATGAGAGTTTGAATATTACCCTCACTGAATCATCAAGTCAATATAGGAATTCATTTCATGCTTCAAGATAAAACAAATTTAAGATAAATACATTAGAGTTGTCTCTAACAACAGCTTAAATCCTGAAACAATATTAATTTATACGCATATAAAATGGCATCTTGGATGACTTTTAATGTGAGACATATATTTTTCAATGTAATTTAAAATCCTGTTCAGAGAAGAATGCTAGCTGTTTGTCTTGCCTTTTCTGAGTCAATCATGAAATCACCTGATGAATTAGCTAAGCAATAGTAAGAATGAGGAAATGGCTTCTTTCTGCTCTGCTCAATAGATAGAAAGGTGAGTAAATTCTTTCCATGTAGTAAGTTGTGAGTAGAAGGGCCAAAATCACAATGCCATTTCCTGCTTCATGCTGTGCCCATTTAGTAAAACTGAATTGGTCATCATGTTCTTAGCACTGCTTTTCAGAGATGTCATAGGCACTGCAGAAGAGCTGTGAAGGTAGCTGGTTGATCTCTCTCCATAGGACTTCCTCCCACAGCAGAGCTGGCTATTGAAATGCCTCCTGAAGCTTTTACTGAGTAGATAAAGAGCAAATGGATTGACACAAGAATTGCAAAAGCTCAGAACCCTGGCAACTAAGGTGACAATCATGTGGCCTAGAGAGGGGTCAATCTCATTATAATTGAAAGACCTATACATGTAGAGAATGTGATTTGGAAACCAACAGAAGACAAAGCAGCCCACAAAGACCAGCACAATTTTCGCCAGGCGTTTCCGTGTTTCCATCTGCAAGTACAAGGAAATAGTCCCATCAGTTAAAATGAAACTGGAACCATCCACATGTGAGACAACATGGTGCAAAAAGATTAAAACTTACCATGGCATACAAATGCAGCCAAAAATACAAAAATTATTTTCTTCAACAACGTGATGATTTCAAGAGTTTGACAAACCCTATTTTGGTCACTATACTCTTTCATCTAAAAATATTTGACAGCCTATACAAGACTAGATGATAAACTATTAATAAATGGCTATATCTTCATGTTAAAACTGTGACCTAAAAAAGTCTCTTATTTTTAACTACTTTCTTGTTGCTTACAGTCTTACTGTGTTCACTTTAAATATAAATCTTTTCTGTTTGTATCAAATCCACTGAAAATAATGAACCACATAATAAATTCAAGATTAGATTTTTTTTAAAATCAGGAAAATTGAAATAGAGCATGACTTTTTAAATCCTTATTACACACACACAAACAAAAACACAAAACTTGAGATTTGAAGTTCTGGCTCACATAAATAAAAATCAGTGATTATCAAATCTGTAAGTATTTACTATGTTAGATTACCTTTAAAAATAAAAATACATTTTTTTCTTTTCATAAACTTTATATATGGTATTTGCTGTTTTATAAGAAAGCCTTCAGAAATGTGATAGAGAAAATTCAAAATTTAGTCTAAGAATTATTTTTCTAACATCTAAAGTTCAAGGTTTAGCTCATATTTGTCTTATTTGCTTAAATGTTTAAATAAGGCAACAGGAGTGTGAAAACTAAATTTATCAAAAGATACTGATAGTAAGCAGAATGATATTTTCAGAGCTAAAACTATTGATAATTAACTAGAACATGCCAAAGAAAACTGGAAAGGTTTACAATTAAGACAGATCTGATGTTGGGTGGTAGGCGTGAACAGTGTTGGGGGAAGCAAATAAAAGTGCAGCAAAGAGGAGGAAAGCAAAATGTGGTACTCCAGATGTATTCTAGTGGCATGAGTTAAGTAAGATGGCAATATTTAGGAACTCAGTTGTGAAATTTATATTATGAAGCATTGTCTACCCTAGCAGGTGGAGCATGGGTGCAAGAATTTCATGGCAGTCTATACTTGGAGACTCAAATGCACAGACTGGCTGTTGGCATTGAGATTACTTCTTAGCAGATATCAAGCCCAGTTACCAAGTCAGAGTTTGTAAGTCCCAATGGAAAAATTCACAAAAACAAGCAGAACTAATGCCATTTAAAAAAACAAAAGTGGAGGTGGGAGGGTAAGAGGAACTCAGTTTTAGAAACCAAAGCAAAAAGTCAAATACCCAAACTGAGATACAGATTGGATTACAGGGCAAAGGAAAAAGTACAGTGAGCCTATGACTTGGATTTTTTTTTTTTTTGCTTCAATGATGCTACATATTTAGACAATTCTGGCATCCTACACAAACTGCACCCCCAGTTCCCAGACCATGTCCTACGGTCTTTCCTGATGGTCCTTGTCCCAGACTTTGTCATCCTTATTGGGCTAATGGGAGAAGAGACAATAATTAAATAAACTTATTCTTAAAATGTGATGATTTTCTGGTTTATTATGTTGTTTTTGCACTAACATTGGCAGGTAAGGAAATGCTTTCAAAGATATTAAATTTTAACAGCCCAGGCCCAGAAGGCAGGTAAGGGGAACCTCAGTAGACCTCTACAGAGATGCTCTCCCCTCCTCCTCCCAACACAATGTCCCTTCCAGTTGGGGCTAAATGCAAATCCCAGTGCCCTGTGGCTCTTTTCTAATCTTTCATGGCACTGAGAATCCACGAAATGGAACAGAAAGTAGCAGTGACTGCATCTGACCCCCACACCCCGAACACACACACACACACACACACACACACACCTGCCAAGCCTACCTGTTTTTTAGTATGTTCATTGTATTCTCCGGGAAGATTATGTGCACTTTTAATTAAGGTCTTTGCAATATGATAATAATAAACGCTAATAACAGCCAGTGGTATGAGGAAATAAACCAAGAAGATGAGCACTGAGTGAATCTTTGGGTGGAATTCATCCGTCTGAGGGTAGGGTATACACGCCGTGAAGTTGCCATTTTCCAAACCATCGATGCGCTTCACTTCGGAAAACACGGCTTCGGGAGCGGCCAGCAGCGCGGAGAGCACCCAGATGCCCACCGCCTTCGCGCAGGTGCGCAGCACCGCCCCGGACGTCTGCATGTCCATGGGGTTGACGATGGCTCTGTACCTGGCAGACAACACGCCCCACATTACTCTCATAGACAAATGGAAAGGGAAAGAGAAAGAGCCAGGGAGGGAGGGAGGGAGGAAGATCCTACTTGCTGATACCCTATTATTCCCTAGCTGGTTTGCAGTGTATGGAATACTTGGTACCTCCGATGTCTGTCTGTCTACAAGGCACGCCACTGCTTGTTGGCACAGAAGATGGGAAGAGGGATCCCTGGGTGGCGCAACGGTTTGGCGCCTGCCTTTGGCCCAGGGCGCGATCCTGGAGACCCGGGATCGAATCCCATATCGGGCTCCCGGTGCATGGAGCCTGCTTCTCCCTCTGCCTGTGTCTCTGCCTCTCTCTCTCTCTCTCTCTCTCTCTCTGTGTGACTATCATAAATAAATAAATTAAAAAAGATTAAAAAAAAAAGAAGATGGGAAGAGACAGGGAAAGATTTTAAGCTGTCATTCTTCAAATTGCATTGATTTGCTTACCTCTTTCACAAGTTCTTTCTTTCCGAAATCCATACCTGCCACAAAGTAGCATCAGTTACTGAATTTCTTGTTGAAATCATTATATTTTCAAAAAAAAACATAAAAAAGATCACTGCTGAAATTGCAGGGAATAGACAATAACTCTAAAATATAAAATGTTCACAAAATAATTTTACTAAGTTCTATCTTAATACTTGCCTTTAGCTTTTGAGCTTGAGTCTCCTACTTTTTTTTTTTTCCTAAGGACGTTAGTAAAACTTACAGACTATCTAGACGGTGATTTCTGCCATGTTTCGATCATAAGAGCTGAAAGAACTGAAGATGAAATAACATTCTGTCTTCGCAGATCAAATTTATTTCATGTTGAGACCTCATGAAATCCTCTCTTCCTATATAATACCATCATACTGGTGAAAGGAAACACACTCCAGAACTTAAGGGCTTAACCAATCCAAACAGCTAAATCACTCACACACTTTTAGGCAATAATAATGCAAAAAAAATTGTTAGTGAACATTAAATTATTTATATTTTTTTGAATTAATTAATTAATTTATTTATGATAGTCACACACACAGAGAGAGAGAGAGAGGCAGAGACACAGGCAGAGGGAGAAGCAAGCTCCATGCACTGGAAGCCCGACGTGGGACTCGATCCCGGGTCTCCAGGATCGTGCCCTGGGCCAAAGGCAGGCGCTAAACCGCTGCGCCACCCAGGGATCCCCTAAATTATTTATATTTTTCTGAAAGTATTTCTGTTATAGTATATCTAGGTTGTTAACAAGATAGAATAAAAAGTGATTTTAGTCAAACAAATCTGAACCTTTGTCTCATCTCTAATACCTTTTGGAAATTCACTTAAGATCTTCATCTGAAAAAAAAAAAGATCTTCATCTGTAGGGTGAGGATTTATAACATTTCTCTCAAAATTTTTTGATTATACAAAAATAAAATGCCTAATTAGCAGATGTGCCTGCCAATTAGCAGATACTAATTGTTATGATTCTGTACCTTTTCCTTATTTACATTTGATTTAGTCTTGTGTTCTAAAAAACTCAGACTATTTCAAGCACCATAACAACTGGGTAAGGTCTTCTGAGGTTCTGTAAAAATGTTTCCCATCACCTATGGGAGAGGAACAGCTCCCAGCCTGAGGGAGCCTCTCCTTCTCCTTCCTGACTTGCATAAAGTATCATTCCCAGGCCCTCAAGAAGAGAAGGTCCGTATTTTTATCTAGAGAGTCTTCCCAGGTATAACAAGAAACATAAATTTTAAAGTGGAGTAGCAACAAAGGGCCTCGACACCAAATTAAATAAAGTAGCATGCATAATGCCTTTATTTTACCCAGACTTTGCACATCGCAGAACACAGTAGACATGTGCTCCATCCTCATTCTGCTTAATTGCATGTTCTTAAGAAGCTAAAAGAAGAAATACAATAAGTAACTAGAATGAGCTATTTTTTTTGTTTCTTTAAACTTTTTATTAGATTAATACATTCAAAGAGGTGTTATTTTTGTTTTGTTTTGTTTTCTTCTTTTTCATCAGAGTGCACTAAGAGCCCATAAAGAAAAATAGAAACCCTCAATTTCATTTCAGGTCCTGCTCCTGGCTGGGACGAACCAATCAATGTCATGTCATTATCTCCGTCTATCTAAGAAATGTATCTTTGCCACTATTTCTTGAAGTAAATATTATAGACATTTGCTTTTGACATCCTGTTATGGAGGTTGAAGATTTTCTCTTATACCACCTCTATTCTTCCCATTACTAACTTCCTGGTTTAGTATGCTATATTAAATGTTTATAAAATAGTCACTATATTGTTATTATAACTAAACAAGTATCTCACACTACAGAATTAAACAAAATATATTTTCTTTCTTACACATGTCTCTAATATACCTACATTTGCTACTTGATTATTTTCTTGTTTGTATAATTTTTCATGTTCCTGTATTTCCTTTTTTTTTTCAATGTTCTTTTGCCACCTTGCTGAATAATTGGGGTCCCAGTGTTTGAATCTCAATTCCTCTTTCTTAGCCTTTTACTTTATTAAGATCATCTCCACCTTTTTTTTTTTTTGGTTTTACTCCTAAGATACTTTATAAGCTTTAGCTTCCACCCTTTCTTCTGATTTTTTCAACCTCTGCTATCATATTTTTGATTTCTAGAAGTTCTTTCTAGTTTTCAAGTCACTCTTTTGCATAATATCCTATTCTTATGTTATAAATATATAACGTCTTATTGTATATCTAGAACTAATTCAGGAAATTTTACTTCTCTTTCTGGTATAGTTTCAGTAATAGTTAACAATAGTAGCAAAGCTTCTCTCAAGTTTCAAGGAAAAAAAATCCTTTTTCTCACAATAAAATCCAAGTGAATAACTACTTAGAAGAAGCCTATTCCCTTCACAGAGTCCAGTAACTGAAGTTTAGTACCAATATACATTATTTTCACTGTGGATCCATTTTTTCTTTTTACATGTTCAGGTGTCCCTCTCTGCCTTTTTTTTTTTACACATTAGTTGTGATGCTGTTCTTGGAATTCATGGAAATACAATTAAAGCAGATTTTAAACAAACAAAAAGAACAACTAATACCTTCAAAGAGGTTTATTTATTTGGTTTCTTTATGTTGGAATTTCTCCCCAAAAGTTAGATATCTACCACCTGCCAATTCATATTTAAGATTAAAGTTTACAAACCTGATGGTAAATTCTTTTGTAAAGGGAGGAGATGGGAAAAGAGTAGAGAAGTTTTAGGGGGTGATGAGTACTAAAAATTAATCAATTAAGTAGCCTTTCTTTGTTAGATTGTCAGAAATCTCAAAGAATATTCTGGTCTTTCCTTTGTGGATTTAAAAGGGAAGGAAACATCACTCCCCATGCCTTTATTCTACCCCATATCTAACCACATAAACATAAATTATGTTAAGGAAACTGCGAAGAGAAATGAAAGCTGTAACTTTTTCCTTCTGAGAAGATTGCCACAGTAAAGCTAGCAACCAATCTAGAATTCTTAATTTAGGAGAAAAAACCTAGTAGGAGTGTAAGACATGGGTAGAGAAGCCTTTTCAACTGGAATGATTCTTAGACATACCCTGCAAGAAATGGAAATAGATTTTGGATCTTCCCCTAAAGGATACAAAGTTGACAGAAAGGGGAATATTGACAATTCAATAAAGCCAGAAATTGCAGTTTAAAACAAGAGATGGTGCAGCCCGGGGGGCTCAGCGGTTAGGGCCACCTTCAGCTCAGGGCGTGATCCTGGAGACCTGGGATCAAGTCCCATGTTGGGATCCCGGCATGGAGCCTGCTTCTCCCTCTGCCTGTGTCTCTGCCTCTCTCTCTGTGTCTCTCATAAATAAATAAAATCTTTTAAAAAATGAAAAAGAAAAAAGAAAACAAGAGATCACTGAAGTGTCATATTAGTACTTACATATCACTTATAATTGCCAAATAATAAACTTTACATTAATGTTTCCTGTACATCTTTGAAAGGATAAAAAGTCAAACAATATAGTGCAAATTAATATGGACATGCTTAATCATCCTTCCTTTAAATATTTATAAAAATGTAAGAATGATAGTCTCTCAATGTACAAACCATCTCATTAAATTTAGTAGCATAATACATATGTGTGAAAGTTATCTTTTTTTTCTTTCAGATTGTCTCAGAAAGGTATTCCTCATTGAAAACTAGAAAATAATCAAAAGGAACTAAAAACATAATCATCATTCATGTACTAAATAACAAAAAATAGATATGCTTCTTCATTAATTTCTGTTTTGAACCTTGCACTTACCATATCTGTGTATAGTCTAAATTTAGCATAAAGAGTTAATGAAATATAATATTACAAAATATATCATGAAAATTGGATCATTTTAGCTCATATAAAGTCATCTCAGTATCTCAGAATCTCCATCTACACATTTCTGTAAACCTACTAGTTACATTATCCAGTTTCTTCTATCACCTATCTCTCTCTCTCTCTCTCTCTCTCTCTCTCTCTCTCTTTTGGCTTATCATACTTTCATTTATCAGAGGCCAACAAAGAGTTTAAATGTGATCAATCTGACAAAGGAGAGAAAGGTATCATGGAAGCAAGAGAGAAAGAGAAAATTTCAAAAAGACGTATAGACCTCTGTGTCAAATACTCCCTGAAGACAAAAATGAAAACGAAAACCTCCTTTTGCTTACTATTCTATCTAAAGTACATAACATAATGCTTGACCCATAACCATTTCTCAATGAATGTTTGTTGAACTGATAAGGAAATGTGATCTGAGCGGCCAGGAGATTACTTAGTAAAAGCAGTTTTGGTAGACTAGGATGGTCGTTGATATTAGGTTAAGGTTAGAATGAATGTCAGAAATGGATACTCAGTCTAGTCTAGTGATGCCCAAGCTGGATCCAATTTGGAATCATATAGAGCTGAAAACAGATAGAAGAGTAGGTTTTTCCTCAGATTCACTGGCACAGAGTCTCTAGGATGTAAAAAATGAGGTTCTGCATTTTACTA